GACAGTGACGAGCTCCTGGCGGGGGCTGAGCAGACAGGGCGGCAATGCTCCCCAGCTCGCCAGCTGCCTGTGGGCACGCAGCGTGGAGAACCCCTTAGGAGACGGATGTTAATGATGCTGTGCCGCGCTGTTCTTCTCGGCCAGGTGCCGCAGGAAGCTGTCCTCGCCCTGGCCCTGGCCGCGGTGATTTAAAGGCTCGCTCTTGAAGAGAGCTGGAGGGGGGGGGAGGTGAGGGACGGGGGGGAGGGGAAGGTGGTGTGGGGGGTGCGGGTGGGGGTGGATGTGCAGGTGTGAGAACGGGTGGGGGATGGGCCGCGGGGGGAGAGCGTTGACAGGGTTCATGTTGATGGGAGGGGCTGGGGTTGTGGGTGTGTTCACCACGGAAGGAACGGGGGCGGCGGGGGAAGTCGTCAGTGGGATCTGGACAGCAGGCGGCACGTTCACCGGGCTGGTCACCCGAAAGCACTTCTCCTTGTGGGCCTTCAGCATGTTGGAGAAGCGGAACCGCTGGCCGCACACATCGCACGGATAGGGCTTCTCGCCTGTGTGAGTTCTGCGGTGCCTCTTCATGTTGGGGCGGCTGGTGAAGCTTTTGCCACAGATTTCACAGATAAAGGGTTTCTCTCCTGAGATGAACAGAGACACACAAAAATGATTGGCTACTCGGCGTAATTATGTGCTCGTCATTCCTTAGATTAAGAAAGGAGATTACCACTCCTCTCCCTTATGGCATATTATATTCTAATAGCAAAACAAGAGTCTCCCAAAGTGGGGACTTTAGAACAGATACGAGTAAAACGAACAGACAACCTACATCTGGGCTTGGTTTACAGATAAGGCACCTACAGTAGCGATCGTTCGCGGCCTACGGGGAGAACTGCTCACACAATGCCCTGGGCCCCAGGAACCCACACCACAGACCAATCTCGGCCTCCAATCCAGGCAAGCTGGTCTGCAGGCAGGACCCGGCATTCCAGCCACAAGTGGGACTCCGCTGAAAATGCCCCGTGGAGCGAGTCCCTTGGTGGCCACTCATGCATCACCCGCAGCCTGGGGCTTCCCCTTTGGACTGGACGGGGAAAGGGGCTGGACACAGCCTTCCGTGTGAATTTCACGCTGCGGTGTTTCTGCACGGGAGCTACTGGCGCTTCTGCAGACGGAGTCACGGGGACTCCGGACGCCTGAAGGGCACGCAGCATTCCTGGTGCCAACTTACTAAATGCCCCCGAGATTTTTATAACAAAAAATGTCCCCACGCCATTTCCGAATGTCCATGGGTATGTGGAGAGCTGAGAGGGTGGATGTCTTCCTGAAAAGCAGTGTTTTGGTAAAGCAAACCCAATCAAACTTGAAGAGTACTGAGGGTATTCTATTTAAAGCAGTCAGTGTCTTCCAGCTTTTAAAGGTCCAGAACCCTTTCCTTAGAAAAAATACACACAAGAAATTATGGAAGATGGCGGCATAGGTAAACACCGGAGACTGAGGAGACCCCATGCCCTGAGTAAAGAATCCATTTTCTTGAAGGAACCTGAAGTTAAAAGGCACTAACAAGTAATCCTTTTTAAAACAGAGTTATGAAAGCCTAATCATTCAGTATTATAAATCTGAATTTTCATTTAAAGTGAAATTTCCACTTGGCATGAAAATTGGTGGTTTACGTTTTGAAATAAACAGACTCACAGGTGATCATCAAGTACTTGAGACCGAGCTGTACCTCCCCCAAGGGGCCCTTACCAGTGTGTGTCTTCATGTGCTCGTCGAAGTACTGCTTCATGTTGAAGTCCTTGCCACACCACTGGCACATGAACTGCTTGTGCCCGATGTGGATGCTCATGTGGGAGCGCAGCTGGTACTTGTACTGAAACCTCTCGTCACAGTTCTGCAGGGGACACGGGGAGACTTCTGGATGCCGAGCACAACGGCTTTCCTGGCCTGAGCCCACCCTCTACACTCTGAGAGGCTTACTTTTCCTACTCAACACAGAACCTGCTTTTGTCAGCTATTTGGCTCTGCTATAATTCTGCAGCTGAGTTATTCATAAAAGGGGAATTTCTCATATAATGATTACTGACTTACTAAAAGAAAAATAACTCATGTGTCAGTTCAAAATTTAACAATGTGTTAAAAAAAGACATTTCTCGTCCTGGCCAGTGTGGCGGAGGGTTAGAGCATCCGCAGTGCACCAAAGGGTCTTGTGTTTGATTCCGGATCAAGGGCACGTACCTCAGTTGCAGGTTTGATCCCCAGCCTTGACTGGGGCGTGTGTGGGAGGCAACCAATCCATGTCTCTCTCGCTCTCACACTGATGGTTCTCTCTCTCTCTTGCTCCCCCTCTGCCCCTCCCTTCCACTCTCTCTAAAAAGCAATGGAAAAAATATCTTGGGTAAGGATTAACAAAAACAAAAAACACAAAAAAAGGACATTTCTCTACTGAGCAGTGAGATAACATGATGCTCAGAGCACGTGTCTGCAGGCTGTGGCCTCGCAGCCTGGGAACCCGCCTCACAGCTGCCCCACACGGACGAACGCTACTCCAGCCCCGACGATGCTCAGAGCACGTGTCTGCAGGATCTGTGGCCTCGCAGCCTGACGCCCCGCACCGCGGAACCCGCCTCGCAGCTGCCCCACACGGACGAACGCTACTCCAGCCCCGAGGCCTGCGCCTGGCGGTGGCACCTTCCTTACCTCACATCTGAAGGGCTTCTCTCCAGAATGCTGCAAGGAGTGCACCTTGAGTGACATGCTGCGTTTGAACGATTTCCCACAGGTTTCACATGTAAAAGGCATGTCTTTTGTGTGCGCTGCAACACAGAAGGCACTTTACTCAAAATAAGTTCACCCAAAAGCTCCAACTGAAAAAGGTAGGTGTCCTACTGTAAGGCCATCACACCATCTTAATTTCCCACAGGCTAACATGGGAGGCTTTAATAGCAATGCTCTGAAGAGGAAATAAATAGCAACGGTGAAAAGCAACCTGGGTGTGAAGCCTGGACCGTTCAATTTGGTGATGCTTCCTGACGACATGTTGCATTTAATTTCAACCGAAGTGACTAAAGTGAGGCAGTGCCTCGTATCCTGCCCCGTACAGAGCATGAAACACACCAAAGCACAAGGGAAAACTGTAGGTGAGAGAAGAGAAGCCGACAGAACTTACCGACCATGTGCTTCCTCACGTGAGCCATGGTGTAGAATTTCTTCTCACAGATCTCACAGGAGAATTTCTTTTCTGCATATCCATGGACGATCTTGATATGTTCATGAAGGGACCAGAGCTTCTTGAATGACTTGTTACAGGAAACACACTGGGCAGGACAAGCAGAAAGAATCTTAGTTACAGGGGCTGCGGAAAGCCAGACCGGCCTGCTGGCAGGTGACACGGTGCGCCAGGGCCCCGCGCAAGGCCAGGACCCGAACACGTGCCGTTCAGCCATGCAGTCCAGGTCCGACACCAATATCTGTGTGTCCTAGTTTCCAAGATGCACCTTTTAGACACACTTTGGGAGTATGAAAACAGCGGCAAAAAATAAGACGGGAAGAAATGGGAAGTCCCACTAATATCAAAGAAGTGACTGCTTTTATCAAGTTTGTGTTGTACCTATAAAAAGAACCTGCCAGCTTTTAAAAAATATATGCGTTACCAAAAGCGGCTGCCTCCTACACATGGGTCACATAGGTGTTTACCAGAAAATACAAACTAATTTCAAATTAACATAAATAAAAGAAGAAAAAACAAGATACATATTAATGGTTATAGATCTGCAGAAGTATATCAATATTTTTGTACCTTAGAGAATGTATTTGGAACCTTCGTTAACACAAATTACTGAGATTTTATTATATTTTTCCAAATGTAATTTGCTGTATTAACATTTCCCTCCGGCAGAATTTAACATAAGCTCTAACCGGTTAGTATCTTTCTCCCTTTTCCCTTATAGCCCAGCTCCAGATGCCTCATGCAAGTCCCTACGGCAGCGATTTTCAGGGGGTGTGTCACAGAGTTTTTAAAACGTGCAATTCCTGACTATTCAGTTAGGGGCACTGACCCCTTAGACCAGTGGTTCTCAACCTTTTGGCCCATTAAATACAGTTCCTCATGTTGTGACCCAACCATAACATTATTTTCGTTGCTACTTCATAACTGTAATGTTGCTACTGTTATGAATCATAATGTAAATATCTGATATGCAGGATGGTCTTAGGCGACTCCTGTGAAAGGATCGTTTGACCGCCAAAGGGGTCGCCACCCACAGGTTGAGAACCGCTGCCTTAGATTGTCAAATAAAATATTACAACAGCCAACACGATAGCCATCCAGTGTGAATGAACAAAAATTATGCCTATATTTTTGTCAGATAGGCAGGAAATGTATTTCTTGATGTGCCGCAGAATTTTAGTAATTTAGTTTATGTGCCACAAGATGAAAAAGGTTGAACATTGCTGACCTATAGAATGCAACACTGCTTAGCTCCTTGTGTTATGAATCATTAATGGTCTAGACCAGCGGTTCTCAACTTGTGGGTCGCAACACCTTTGGGGGTCGAACGACCCTTTCACAGGGGTCGCCTAAGACCATTGGAAAACACATATATAATTACATATTGTTTTTGTGATTAATCACTATGCTTTAATTATGTTCAATTTGTCACAATGAAATTGGGGGTCACCACAACATGAGGAACTGTATTAAAGGGTTGCGGCATTAGGAAGGTTGAAAACCACTGGTCTAGACGATCAGGCATAAAGTGTATGAAAATAAAGTGCTTTTGGTTAAATCAAAACAATACTAGAAAGTTCTAGGTAACAATCAGACTCTGAGATACTTAAGGAAACACGATAGAATTCACTGTAAATAAAGATCTCTTAACATCACTGTCACTTCAGGAAACAAAGACTCTGAGAGGGTTAAAAAGATAAGCCGCTGACGAATACGCTTGAGAAAAGGACAGACAACTCCTGTAAACCATTCTGTGGGACAGGTTTTAATTTCTACTTGTTACTAGGTTGTCATGATCACCAGGATCCATACTGAGGAACAAAGCCGTGTTCCTGAGGAATGTAGAGAGTTCATTCAGCAGCACCCCAGAACCTACACGCATGCTTACACGCATGATGGTGAGAAACAGTGAGGAAAGTCACAGAAGAAGATTCATCAAATGCTTCCTTTTCTGTAACTTAATAAAGTAAATTTAAGTTTAAAAAAAACCGTATAAAGGTCTTCAAGTTCAAGATACACCTTTTCAGCAACGAACGCACCGACCTAGCGAGACCCCTAGGGTGCAGCACCACTTCACTCCCTGTGGCCTGAACCCTGGCAACCAATTCATCACCAAGCCATGACTCCGTTTTCTCTTATTTACCCAGCATTTGGGAGATCAAATCACAACTGATGAATCAAAAAGCAGTGAAATTTTAGCAAATATAATTTATGTATATATATATACATGTATATATTTAAAAAAAATTGATTTCAGAGAGAGAGAGGGAGAGGGATAGAAACATCGATGAGAGAGAATCATTGATTGGCTGCCTCCTACATGCCCCCCACTGGGGATACTGCCACCAACCCCAGCAAGTGCCCTGACCAGGAATCAAACCCTGACCTCCTGGTTCATGGGTCGACACTCAACCACTGAGCCACACTGGCCGGGCTATACTTGATATATTTAAAACTCTCTTTAAAGTAAAGCAATGATCTCAGTTGTTAATTAAAAGCAAGAGGAGCCGTAGCCGGTTTGGCTCAGTGGATAGAGCTTCGGCCTGCGGACTGAAGGGTCCCAGGTTCGATTCCGGCCAAGGGCATGTACCTTGGTTGCGGGCACATCCCCAGTTGGGGGGTGTGCAGAAGGCAGCTGATTGATGTTTCTCTCTCGTCGATGTTTCTAACTCTCTGTCCCTCTCCCTTCCTCTTTGTGAAAAATCAATAAAATATATATTACAAAAAAAAAAAAAAGCAAGAGGAAATGTGAAAAATAAGGAGCACTCCAGGAAACAAACCAAAACAAAACAACTGCATCTTTTAAAAGAAATTTAGCATAAATATGGTACAAAATATGTCTATTTTACATATTTTATGTAGGCATTAATAGACTTACCTTCATAAGTATTCATTGATATGCATTCGCATGTGTTAACCAATATAGCTCAGCACAGTAATATTATTCACTTGACAAAACATAATTAGCACACCTTTTACCCTATCACAACACAGTCCTCTCAAGGCACCAGCCTGGTTTGAGTACCATGTTTTGTTACCTTAACCATATGGTACAGTAGCATTACATAGCCCTACTGCTAGGCGGGCAACATTTGCAACCAGCTCAGCCTCTGTTTAAAGCTTGCATATTCCCATGGGCTCAGCCTCTTGACAAATTTAGTGTTGTCATCTCTCCACTGGTGAAAGCAAACTCACTCCTGGAGATCTTCCATTTCCACGGGTCTGAGTCATTATGGTTTTTGTCCCCATCGGCTGCACCTGCACTAGAACCTGGCATCCTTTCCAGCCTAGAAAGGGACCGCTCTCTATTCCCGAACTTTGCCCAGTATTTCCCACCTCGACAGAGAAGATGCCAGAATGAATGATAACAACTCTGAATCTCAGTGCAAAGTCGGCGTTGACTTCACCTACGGGGCAATCACCTACAACAGATCCCCCTTCCAAGTACCTGGGTTCCCACTAGTCCAGCGTCAGTTAAATTTAATGCTTTTGAAATAAAACGTTAAGCCTGGGTTTGGCAAAGACCAGAGCAGGAGCTGTTAAAGAGCTAAACTGGCGAAATCTGTCCCTTCGGCCTCTAGCGTACTTATTCTCTCGGGCAGATACCAGGCGAGTCTGAACAGCCAGGCTCTATGCTGCGAAGCGTGCCCTCTCGGTGATGAGACAGACCTACCTGGATATTTTTCTCACAGTCTGTTTGCTGGTGAAGGGACAGCTCACTTTCCAGGACAAACTTCTTGCCACACTTATCACAAATCTGCATGCGCCTGTGAGTGACGTTCATGTGCTTCTCCAGGTACCAGCGCGTATTAAACACCCTGGGGCACTTCTCACAGGTCAGAGTCTCTTTCTCTTCACACTTAGCTTTCTGGACTGATGCTTTGGGCTCCTTGGCGGCCCGCTTCTTACGCTTAGGCGGCTCTACACTCTTCCTACGACCTCGTGTAGTTCTGGGCGTAGGGGAAGTGGTCGCTGCGGCCACAGAGGCAGCTCTCCTCGTCCTCCTTTGTGCAACGCCGACTTTCTCCGCGGCCTTCTCCTTTTTCTTCTGCCTCGCGTTCTCCCCATAGTCACTGCTGTTGTCCGTGGCCTCCTCCTCACTCTCGTCGTCGTCCTCCTCGCTGCTCGTCTTAACAACAGGAGTCTCTTTGGACTGAGAAGAGACACCCTTTTCCCCTTTAGACACATTTAACGTTTGATTATTAAGGTTTACCTCCACGATGATCTGCTCCCTTTTGTAAGAGACCTCCTCCTCCTCCTCCATGTCATCAGAATTCTCCCGGTCTTCTTTAACAGCATGCACGTCCGAGCCGGCTCTTGTCTCCCTGAAATACGGCTGTTCCTCTGTCTCGTGGAGATGCGGTTTGCTCACCTTGGTGTCCACTAACACGGAATAAGGACTTCCCGACTCCCTTTTGTACACTTTGGTGGACAGGTCAAGTTCTTGGTTGGCACCATGATAAAAGGTAGACGGCACCGGAGCACGGCGGCTGTCCTCTTGTGCCATCCCTGCTACATGCGCAGCACAGTTTTCAACCAGCTCCTGACAGGAGCCGGCTGTGTGGCTCATTGGTAAGTGGCCCGATTTATGAAACAGTTCAGACTATAAAGAAATAGCTTTAAAACAGCGTAATTATCAAGACTCAAATCTTTTTCCATCCACAAAGAATCACTCAAATGAAAAAAAAAAAAAAAAGGTATTCCTGGAACCCGTGAGCAATTCTTCCAGTGATGCAGCACCAAAGCGCGAGTCAAAGGTCTGGTGTTATGGCAAGAGCAGAGCTAGTGATTTTTCTTTTGAAGATCAGCTGCAAGTGACTTGGAGCATCTTATCTACAAAGAAAAGCAAAGAAGAAAAAAGTCAGATACCACTATTTCCTTTGTATAACATGCACTTACACCATACAGCAAACAGCCTAAAACGATCAAACTCTCTCTATATACAATTCTTTCTTCTGCTTTTAAATGGTTCAGTGTGGGCCATTATTTTACTGGGTTACATGAATTCAACAAACATTTTGTTAGAATTAGATTCTAAGTAAATTCTAAGGTAGCAGGAGTCACTGTCCCTTCACTGAGATATCTTTAGAGCTTAGCACAATGCCTAGCACTTAGTAGGTGTTCAGTATACGTTTGATGACTAAATGAATAGCTGCTACTGCATAGCACTCATTATCCTAGATGCCACGAGGCATACTGATACGGCAAAATATATCTGTCTACAATTGAGCCTGGTTATATAAATGTGTCGTACATGGAACACACAAGAGCATTCTGCTGCTGGCTTTCTTTTCAATATCAGACACCACTGTCCACCACCGTGAGGGCTCACGGACAAAGGTGGTAGTGAGCTAGGCACTGCAGACCAGGAAATAAACCTGCTACTTGACATAACTACTGAAAAGAGAAAATGTCCCTGGCTTTAAACAATTTAAATCTAGATATAGATTATTACTTTAGGTACTACTGTTTTTAGGTTTATCAGAATAATTTCAAAATTGCCAAGTATTTTTAAATTTGTTCTATGCATAGCTCACTAGATCCACTCAGTAACTGGGTGAGTCTTCACGTGTCAGTTGCAGAAATCTAAATTCTAAGAAACAGTAACCATCAGGTTGATATGGTTCCAAGAAAAATAAAACCATCACTTAAAAAAAAAAAGATCAGAGAGGCATGTAATTTGCTTTGTGACATACCTCACATTGCTGTTTAGCCAACCACCTAACCTCTGAGTCATGTGAAATGACTGCAAACACATACCCTGTCTAGTTGACAAAAGAAGAAAACCAGTATTTACTGAATGCCTGCTACATGCACAGGCACTGTGAGGGTGCTTATTATCTATTATTTCCATTTAATAACCACTGAAAAACTTTGGGGTTGATTTTTACATTATTCTTTTCTTCCATTTTCTTTCTCTGTATGGATTTGTTCTTTAAAAATTATTTTACTTTCATTTTAGTGGAATTTCAGAAAGGAGTGGTGATAAATGCTACTATATTTTACTTGACATCTGCATAGATATATTTACTTTTTTGTATTTATTAATGAGAAAATTATGCCTCTGAGAGGCTTATTTGTCTAAGATCACATATCTATTCAATGACAAAAGCAGTGTTTGATCCTAGGCCTGACTGACTCCAAAGCTCATAGTCTATCTCTACTATGACAAGTGACACTCCAAAAAATAACTTAAAATTAATTATTCCTGTAATCACAGATCTTTTTGCAATAAACAGTTTCACACTTCATATTTTAAGTAGGAAAATCCCAGTAGCTTTATTTCACATGTACCAAAACTTCTGACCCTGGAAATAATGTAAACTACTACAAGTACTGTTATATAAACTTACATTAACGATCTCAAATTAAGCAAGGGAAGAGAAACAATAAAATTCATCTAACCAGCAAAAGCTAAGAGTTAAATAAAAGTCAGGAAGACAAAAAATAAATAACGGAAGGAAGGAAGGAGGGAAGGAAGAAAAAGCCTCTGTGGTCGGCCATTAATACTTTCTTCCCAAATACTTCTGGGCACAGGGTAGGACTGCACTTTCCAACCCTGCCCCTGCCCGGCAGCACATCGGGAGTAGATGTGACACACAGAAGGCCAGGGCATCTTCTAACCAAGACGAGAGCCTCCAGACCTCGTTCCCTCTGCCACAGGGACCGGCAACCTTCAAGGTGATGACGGCTATCTTTGCTATCAGCTGGGGTCCCTGAGGGACTAAAGGACTTACAGGATATATGCATAGTGCAGTGGATTTTTTTAAAATTTACTTTTACACAGAGTGTGTTTTTAAAGCCACTGGGATTTTGTGTTGTTTATGCCTACAGCATAACCTGATCTATCCCGGCTTATACAAGTGGAATCTGGAAGTGGGGTGCTGCTTCATCAAAATACCCAAAATACATAAAAAAGGTTTAGGAAGCTGGTAGGAGGCAAGGAAACTGCTACTGGAGGCTAAAAGGATATGATGCA